AGGGCGGCTTACACAGAATGCCCAGTGTGCTGAGTTCCATGCTGGAGGGCATGGGTTCTCCCAGGCGTGTAGGATGCCCATGTCTGTGAGGGGTGTGGTTCACCTTTAGTGTTGCTTCTCCCCTTTTTCCTTGCTCTGCGGCCTCCAGGACCAGCTGTGCATGTGAGGCTGGGGTATCTCTGACATATTCCTGAACTATCTCATGAGCTGTTGGTCTGAACCAGCGGGACCTCAGTTAAACCTGTGAGTACCGGTCTCACAGGAGGCAGAATCGAAGCTCTCACCTGTGCCTCCATTGCACGGGTGTGTGACACGTTTGGGAGTTTCACGTTGTTTGTAATCAGTAAGCAGTTGTCAAATAAAAAATCCAGACTTAGTAAGAAAAGGCTTTCTTAGGAGTATGCAAAGGAGGGAATGGACTATCACAGTAGGGGCCGGGGCCTGGCCACACGCTGACCATGAGATCATGCGTGTCTCAAAGTTTAGGCCAAAGCGCTTTTCTTTGTAGGGTGGTGTAGATGAGGCTTAGAAGAACCAGAGGTGGGATATGGAATGAGGGTGGCAGGGTCAGAGGATGCGTTACTGTTTCTCAGGCCAGCTGTTTCTCAGGAAGGGCTGCGCTGGCTCCGTGGGGCCCAAGGGGCCTGGAGAAGGACAGAGTGAAGCAAGGTTTGGTTATGAGCATTTTGTTGTGAGTGATCGGGAGCGGGCGGGGGACGCACAGTGCCACTGGTCATGGAGAGACACAGAGCAGGCATTGGCGGGTTTCTGTGTCTGGCCTTGTCCTGGGTGGATGGGGGTATCGTGAGCCTTGGCTCAGTCCTGTGGGGAGGGTTTTTTTTGTAGTGGTTGTTTCTGGAGCACAGTGGGCAGGGGATTTCTTACCTCCTGCTGTTTTCTAGGAGCACATGGCATTGTTGCAGTTGTCACCCAGAGTTTTACACAGAATAGAGTGTGTTATTTGGTAACTGGATGCTGGCCTGGGCTCCCTCGTGTTAGCCACATGGGCCCTCAAATCTCAGCCTAGGTCTTGTGGCGTGTGGGCCTTTCTGACCAGCTGAGGACCTTGGTCCCTGCTTCTAGGTAGGGCATTTGAGCCAGGTGATGCAGGAAGGAAGGTGCCTGCCACACAGGGGCAGCCCCCAAGGCTTGCAGGGAGGACGAGGGTCAGCCCCCTTTGGGACCCAGGGCTGAGCAGGGACAGCTGCAGGGAAGAGGCTCTGGGTCTGCAGGGGGGCTTCTCATGCCACCAGGAGGATAAAACCCTCAGGAGTGTTAATAAGACTCCCCCGCAACACCCTTGCGGGCTCTTCCTCACCTTGATGTGCTCCTGCCTTATCAGCATCTCACTCCCTGAAATGGCTCTCCAGTTGTTTCTTGCATCCTCAGGAGGGCCAGGGACTTTTGATGCAGCTTGGCACACAAAAGGAGCAGAAAGCATTCACTGACGGAATGAATGAGCCACATCCAAAGCCTGACTCCCTTAAGATGCCCCAGGGACCAGACGCTGTTCACTGGACTACAGCAGCATCCCCGAGGGCCTGTTAGAAATGCATGTTCTTGGGGTCCCCCAGAGCACTACCAGGCTTGGGCTCCAACTGGGGCCCAGAGATCTGGCATGCAGATCCTTGCCTGGGGCTCTGCTCCAGGCCGCAGTATGAGAACCACTGACCAGAGGCACATGGGGTCTCCAGGAGGCTGCGATGGCTCAGAACCTGCCTCTGAGCTGCTGAGGAGGAAGGAGGTGATTCTTTTCCAGTGTGTGAGTGGGTGGGGATGCTGGGCTGCAGCTCCCTTGGGAAGAGAATAAGGGCCATGTATAGTGTGTGTGTGAGTGTGCATGTGTGGGCAGGCACATGTGTGTAGGTAGGTGTGTATATGAGTACATGTGGGTGTGTGTAGTATGTCTTTATATGAGTGTGCATGTAGGTACATATGTTTGTGCATGTGTTTGTGTGTATCCATGTGGGCATATGTATCTATGTGTGTATATGAGTGTGTGTTTAGGTGTATAGGGGTATGTGTAGTATGTCTTTATATGAGTGTGCATGTAGGTACATATGTTTGTGCATGTGTTTGTGTGTGTGTATCCATGTGGGCATATGTATCTATGTGTGTCTATGAGTGTGTGTTTAGGTATATAGGGGTGTGTGTATGTGAATGTGGCATGTATGTGTGTGCATATATGTATATGCATGTGTGTGTGCCTGAGGGTGTATGGATGTGCATGTTTGGATGTATATATGTGCATGTGTACACATGTGTGTCTCTGTAGGTTTGTGTGTGATTTTGTATGTGAATATACATGTGTGCTTACATGGGTGGATGTTTGTGTGGTGTACCTGTGTGGATGGGTGTATACGTGTGTGCATGTAAGTGTGGGTAGGTGTGTGTTTGCATGGATGGGTGTCTGTGTGCCTGTATGCATGCATGTGATGCACGTTTGTGGCATGTGTGTGGCGTGTGTGTGGCAGGCAGTCTTTTAAGTGGGCCCAGGAAGGGAACTGTGTGACCAGCCATGAGTTGGCCTTCCTTAGGGTGTATGCACCATGTGGAATTTGTAGGTTCCACTAAAGAAAAGGGGTGGTGCTCTGTGGGTGACTGTGGTACGTATCTGTTGCAGTGTGCAGGGTACAAATGGCAGTAATACGGAAACTCAGAAATGTAGGGACCAAGTTGCCTTCGGATCCCTAGGCCACTGCACAGCATGAAAAACCTGTTAATGCTCTCTGGACTGTCCTCCCAAAAGCCCGTGTTTCCTGTGCAGCCACGCACACGCATACATAAGGCCACCGTGGAGTGGTGGGCTTGCCCTGGCCGCCCCTCCACAGCCTGCCTTTTTATTCTGGCTTGGGCAGTTCCCTTTCCACATAAGGTAACCTCCTCAGGGTTTCTTTTTTGTTTTTTCTTGTTTGTTTGTTTGTTTGTTTGTTTGAGACCCAGTCTCGCTCTGTCGACCAGGCTGGAGTGCAGTGGCACGATCTCAGCTCACTGCAGCCTCCGGCTCCTGGGTTCTAGCGATTCTCCTGCCTCAGTCTCCCAAGTAGCTGGGACTACAGGCGTGTACCACCATGCCCAGCTATTTTTTTGTATTTTTAGTAGAGATGGGGTTTCACCGTGTTAGCCAGGATGGTCTCAATCTCCTGACCTAGTGATCTGCCCACCTCGGCCTCCCAAAGGGCTGGGATTACAGGCATGAACCACTGCACCCGGCCTGTTTTTTTGTTTATTTGCTTTTTTTGAGACAGGGCCTCACTCTGTTGCACAGGCTGGAGTACAGTGGCACAGTCATAGCTCACTGCAGCTTGACATCCTGGGCTCAAGCAATCCTCCCACCTCAGCCTCTTGTGTAGTTGGGACTACAGGCATATGTCACCATGCCTGGCTAACTTAATGTTTTGTAGAGATGGGGTCTCACTGTGTTGTCCAGGCTGGTCTTGAACTGCTGGGCACAGGCGATCCTCCCATGTTGGCCTCCCAAAGTGCTGGGATTACAGGCGTGAGCCACTGTGCCCGGCTGACCTCGTTGTTCTTTGTAATGGGTACATAGATGTCAGCGTTTGGATAGACCATTTATTTGATTCTGGTCGGCTGCTGATGGACTTTGAAGGTTTCCATGGCTTTGCTGTGATGCGGGAAGCACCCTCGCGGTATAGCTTTGTGTCCAAGTGGAATGTGATTCAGGAGCATCCCGAGTGTCACAGTCAGGTCACACTGGGTCTGCTACCCCACTGTCGGGCGCCGGTTTCCCCGCCTCATCGTGGGCTCTGGTTGCTCAGCTCTGTAGGTTGCTGCTCATCAGAAAGATGAAAACGACCATCCTGCTTCAGTTGGTTTCTTTCATCGTTAATGGCATCGAACAGCTCGTCCCTTCACTTGCCATTTGCGGCTCTGTGCCCTGTGGGTGGGGACTTTGCGACGCTCACTCCTTGCTTCAGGAGGCCAGTGACGAAGGAAGGAGCCCTTTACGTTTTCTCGGCGTGTTGACTCATGTTTCTCCTTTATGCAGGCGCATTAGTAAGCCTTCCCCTACTTTTAAGATTGTTTTAAAAAAAAAACAAACCCTCCCAGCTGGACGTGGTGGCTCACGCCTGTAATCCCAGCACTTTGGGCCGAGGCAGGCGGATCACTTTAGGTCAGGAGTTCAAGCCTGGCTAACATGGTGAAACCCCATCTCTACTAAAAAAAAATACAAAAATCAACCGGGTGTGGTGGCATGCGCCTGTAAGCTCAGCTACTCAGGAGGCTAAGGCAGGAGAACCGCTGAACCCGGGAGGCGGAGGTTGCAGTGAGTTGAGATTGCGCCACTGCACTCCAGCCTGGAGACAGAGCAAGACTGTCTCAAAAAGAAAAACCCTCCCAAATTCTGGTTCCTGTTTGGATTCTTCTTTTCTTCTCTCTCTCTTCCTTGCCCTCTTTCTCCTCCCCTTCTTCTTCTCCTGATTTTGGTTTTTAAGTATGTAATTAATTTTAAAACTTAAAAAGTGTTAGAATATTGAGTATTAACACTGAGATTGCCTTCATATGTGATTTTAAATTAGGGACTGATTTGGAGCTTTGTGCTGCAGTGTCCTTCTTGACTACGCCTTCACTGGGGGTCACAGGGTTTCTGGGTAAGGCCTTGGCCCACCCTGGCTGCCTCCTACACTAGAGCTCACGCTCAGCGATTGTGTGCTGTGCCAAGGAAAGGCTCTCTGCCAAGTTGGTGCCTGGCCAGGAGCAGAGGGGAGGAGAGAGATGGGTAGGGTGAAGGAAGGTACAGATGATGGCTCCCTCCCAGTTCTTGCTAATCCTTGTCCGTTAGCTGTGATGCCTCCTCTGGTCTCACCTGGCCAGGTAAGCTGTACCCTGTGACTGACAGTTCTCTAGGACGATACTCTTGCAGTCCTTGGGGGACATTTTTGGCACAGTGTTGGGGTATGAAATTGTGTGTATGTATATTGTAAGGGAATCTGGTAGTTTATCCTGCTAAAATGCACCCTTTTCTAACTCTGTTTCAGACTCTGCTAACACCAGATAGTAGAAAGAAAGTGTGTGCTGAAATGTTTGACGACGCTGATGGTTTGGTAAGTGATGGCGTCTGCCTGAGAGCCATGGTTCCGTTTGGAATTGGCTCTTCAGAAGGTCTAGTCCCGGTGTTCCAGCCCTCAGTCAGCAGCGATGCCTGTTCACTGTGTGACCTGCCGAGCAGGTGTCTGGAGAGTGAGGAGGAAGGTCTGTCTCCGGAAGCTCAGGTGGTTCTGCCTGGAGTGGTCAGGGTCTGTTTAGGGGATGCGGCTGTAGAGGAAGTCAGAGTGGGTGGGGGCAGGGCAGGCAATGAGCAAGGCGATGCTGGGTGTGGCTTGTTTGGTGGTGAGCCCAGTGCCCAGCCTTAGTACCGGCTTCCCTGGCAGGAAGGGAAGGGCCCCAGTTGAGGAGGTGCCCCTGCCTAGACTGTCCCCTGAAGACTGGTACGCCTAGGAGTTCATATTGGATTGTTGAAGGTGGTCTTTCACCCAACCTTAGGGGTCTTTGGGAGCCGGTGGGCAGTTGCTTCTCTTCTGTCCACTAACTCACACCCCCCATGCCCCATGTTCAGGGAGGTCTGGGGAAGACAGTGGCTTGGGCTGGGGTGAGGTGGACAGGGACAGCTCCCTGGGCTGCCGCACCCTTGCTCCCACCCCGCCCTTCAAATGTTCCGAGTGGAAGAAGGGTCTCCTTGTTGTCTGAGATTCCAGAGCACCAGGCCACACGGGCCCTGCCACAGGCAGCATGTGGGTGCGAGTCCACATGTCATGGCAACTCTAGAGGGCACTGGGGCCCTCCCTGTCATGGATGAGGCCATGGAGGCACAGCGTGATGAACTGATGTGGTTGTAGGCTATGACCCAGGCCACCCATTTTCTCTGGCCCTGTCCCCACCCCCTTCCAACTGTTGGGATGGGGCTGCCTGCCCTGCAGGGCTGCTGGGCCACAGGCTGGCCCGCCACTTCATGGGTTCAGTTTCCTTCTCTGTAAATGTGAAGAGGCACAGCCACCCTGGCAGCTTCCTCGAGGGGCGGGGCTTCCTCACCTGTGCTGGGCACACGCCTGGGCGGAGTCCTGTGCCAGGGCCCCACTGGGTCACCTCGGGGCTGGGGGTGCTGTGGCATGGCTGTGCCTTTCTGCTACCCCGAGGGTGGCCTGGGCTGGCACAGAACATGTCCTTGTGCTGTGCAGGATTGTAGGCTCCGGGGGCTCACCCTGTGCAGAATGCCGCCCTCAGCCTCATACCCTGCCGTCACCATGGGGCACCGACTTCAGTTTGACACTCTTACTAGGCGTGGGAGGTGCCCTCGGTAGCCCCAGGAGGGACCGTCTTTGGCTCAGCAGCCACCTGTGCAGGTCTCTCGTTTCCAGCTTGGTTATGTGCTCAGATGGAACCGGAAGAGAAGAGGTCATCAGAAGAAGCTGCTCTGTTTGATTTGGTGGAGGGCCCACCTGTCCAGGGCCCCCAAGGCCCACTCCTGCTAGATCTGGTGTGGAAATAGAGTAGGAAGTGAAAATCTTGGGGGGCTGACCCCGTCAGCCACACCAAGCTGGGGGAGCCTCAGCTACTTCTACGCCACCTTCTGTGGCCACTCCTGGAGATGTGGATTAAAGGTTGATGCAGGCATGTCTGTGTTAGAAGGTGTTTCCAGATGTGACTTCAGCTGTAAGAAGCAGGACATGTAAGTCCTTGTGTCCCCTTTAGAAAGCCAGGTTGTGACTCCTGCCCTCCTGTGCCTCGGCCCTCCTGGTCCTGTCCAGCCTGGGATCTTCCTGGCTGCAGCTTTCACATCATAGATAGTCTCCATACACAAGACCATCTGCAAAGGACATACTGAAGATTAAGACATATATCCTATCGAGACCATCCTGGCTAACACGGTGAAACCCCATCTCTACTACAAATATAAAAAATTAGCCGGGTGTGGTGGCCGGCACCTGTAGTCCCAGCTACTTGGGAGGCTGAGGCAGGAGAATGGCATGAACCCGGGAGGTGGAGCTTGCAGTGAGCCGAGATCACGCCACTGCACTCCAGCCTGGGTGACAGAGCGAGACTCCGTCTCAAAAAAAAAAAAAGACATATATTCTAGAACTTGGGTTGAAGTGGAAGCAAAAATAACTTTTAAGGGACTTTTCCCAGCGTGAAGTGGCTCATATAAGCAGCTTTGCCGCCCTTTGGGTGGGGACAAAGCAGGCACTGTGGTTCCCAGTGTCATTGTGAGCCAGGCCCTCTGATGCTGGGTCCTGGAGAGAGGACAGTCTCCACAGGAACCTGACCGTCAGGGCTGTGTGTCCACCCAGCGAGGGCTGGGACTAGATGGTTCCGGAAATCCTGGCTTAGATTGGTATGGGGTGCTGGGGTCCTTACTGCAGGCCTGTTGGACATGACTGGGAACACAGCCTGGGGGCCATCGGCTTCCAGCAGCTTCCCCCAGAAGCATGGGTATAACAGGCAGCAAAGGGCTCTGCGTCCTCAGAGGAGGGAGCACAGGTTGGCTTGGACATCTGTAGGGGGGAGCCAGAGAGCCACAGGATACAATGCTATGTCTTGCTTGTGATTTCTTAGACCCAAACTCTTACACTTGCATGTGCTTATGGGGAGTTGAGTGCAGAAAGTGAATTCCTTTGGGTTTGGTTGTTGTTTTGATACCACCTGCATTTAAGCTCTTCCTTCTTAATTTCAAACAACCCTGTAGTCTTTATAAAGTGCACTGTGTGGGTGCTGCCCAGCCTCCCTAGGGTCTGAGTGTGCCCCACTGCTTGGAGGCAGGGCTGCTTCACCTGCGCTGGGATGGAGCCCTGTTCATAGGAGCTGGGCTTTATTTTTAGCAGGTACAGTTCCATGTCTCACAGAGCTGAGAGCAGAAAGACTGTAGATTTAATTAAATGACACTGAAAGGGGAGGTAATTACTTCTGCATGTTTCAGGAGGCCCCGGAGGGTGTTTCAGGAGGCCCCGGAGGGTGTCCCAGGTCCTCTGCTGCAGCCCTGTGAGGCTGTTACCTGGAAAACGCCCAGGACCCCATCCCTGATGGGCACTCAGGGTCCTGGGCATTGCTCTGACTAATGATGAACGATGTGAGCTTTCTTCTCTGAAGCCTAGCTTTGGAGATAAGCCATGCAGTCTAGAGACAGTGCAGCAGGTCACTGCAGAGGAAGCATGGTCAAGCTCTGCATCCCAAAGCTGCTTTAACAGGACAGGACACCGGGCGTGGTGGCTCATGCCTGTAATCCCAGCACTTTGAGAGGCTGAGGCGGGTGGATTATCTCGGGTCGGGAGTTCGAGACCAATCTGGCCAACATAGCAAAACCCCCGTCTCTACTAGCGGGGCATGATGGCTCATGTCTGTAATCTCAGCCACTTGGGAGGCTGAGGCAGGAGAATCGCTTGAAACCAGCAGGCGGAGGTTGTAGTGAGCTGAGATCGCGCCATGGCACTCCAGCCTGGGCGACAGACTGAAAAGACTGGGCACAGTGGCTCATGCCTGTAATTCCAGCACTTTGGGAGGCTGAGGCTGGCGGATCACAAGGTTGGGAGATCAAGACCATCATGGCTAACATGGTGAAACCTCATCTCTACTAAAAATACAAAAAATTAGCTGGGCATGGTAGCAGGTGCCTGTAGTCCCAGCTACTCAGGAGGCTGAGGCAGGAGAATGGCATGAACCCGGGAGGCAGAGCTTGTAGTGCCGAGATCACGCCACTGCACTCCAGCCTGGGCGACAGCGAGACTCCGTCTCAAAAAACAAAAAAGAAAACAAAACAAAACAAAAAAACAGGTCAGGACATGTAGGGTACTAGCACCATCCAGCTGCCTCCTGCACACAGGAGGGGCCAGCGGCCAAGGGTTCATTTATAGTAACCAGAAGCTTCCACACCCTCAACACACTCAGATCCATAGCACCTCCTCCTACCAGTGGCTGTGTGGGTGTTACTGCCTCCCTATGCCTCATAGGGTCCCTGTTCAGTATCCTAGCTGGACACCACGCCTGACACGGAGCACCAGAAGTGTGGCTGATCAGAGCCGAGATACCTCGAGCAGTTACAGAGAGTTTGCACACAGAAGGCAAGATGCACTCCCTTGTTCATGACCTGCGTGCATGGCATGCAGAAGGAGTGTATTTTGGATGTGTATTGGGTTAGATAAAATATATGACTAAAGCAAACTTAGTCTTTTTTTTAATGAGCAAATCCAGATTTATTTTAATGTCATGTCATTGTCAATGTGTTTAAAAACCTCATAAGTTAGTGGGAGCCCTAGTTTCCTGGGACGGCATGCCAGAGGTACTGAAATTTGTCGCCTTTCTCTACAAACCCCCAGCAATCCAATCCAAGTCCGTAGCTTCAGAAAGCCAGGAGTCATATCTTCAGTCAGTCTACTCCTCTGGTTCTCGGTTTTTCTTTCAAGGGAGGGAGATCACAGTGTTTCAAACAGGGAACAAAACCAGTTGAGCTTCCAGCTCAGGTTTGTGTAAGATGGAGCGAGGGGAGACTCACTCCAGAGAAAAGGGTAAGGTGGAGATGAATTATTTCTCTACAGCTTTGTGAAAATGGAAGAAAAAAGATTGACAAATGAGGATCCATTTCATAGATGAGAATCGCTTCATAAATGAAGGCTCCAGCTCCTAAAATGGGAGGGGCCTGACTGGACAGCCTGAATCAGATGAGGAGTCGGCCACACTGAATAAAAACAATCTGAAAAATAATCCTTCTAATTTTGAAGCCAGATAAAATACTTGGGGAGAATGGAAAAGAGAGGAAAAAGCCCCAAACAGATGGAAAAATGCTGACGTCAGAGTAGTATAAAAAAATTCAACCGAGTTTTCGGTGGTGGTGGCTAATTTAGCCCTGTTCTGTTGTAGGGTCACAAACTTTGACCAAGCAGAGAGTAGTAGAAAAGGCCAGAAAGAGGGGCTTGAAGACGATGAATTTTGACTCCTGATTTTATTATTTAATTTCTTTTTTTCATTTAAAGTAGTCTTCTGTGGTTGGGAAGCCTCACCTCCCAAGACCAGAGTCAGATGCTGGTTGTTGTTGGAAGGGGGTGGGCTGGGGAACTGG